AGAACCCCATTCTGGAGTTTCAACAACTGGTAATTACACCCCAATTCATAGCACCAGGAATGATGCCAATGCAACTGCCCCGAGAGACGATGACATCATCAGTCCCCACCTGGAATAAATTAAAAGGACTTGCCATGCTAAATGATACTAACTTTGCTTTAACAAAATGCTTTTGTCTTAACTGTGAAAATGTGATCCATAGCTCTTGCTTTTTCTTTTAGTTAAATAAATAAAACAGGGGAGCTGTAGAGTATACCAACATTTATAAAGCAAATGTATTTCACAGGGCCTAGTTTTCAAAGCCCTGTAGTTTCAGGTATAACCTAACTTTTAAAAATTACACATAGAAATGTTAAGCTTGCAAAAGACAGGAAACTTTCCACAGGCTAAAGTCTCTGTTGTAGCTAAGAACTGTAACACAGCAAAATTGCTGGCTCCAAGGACAAATGCCCTTGGTGCAATTAAACCTAATGACTGTTGCCATGACAATTATCTTACTGTTCTTTTTGTAACCACCTGTGTTCCTTTTCTGTAATTTTCTGGCCTGGAGAATAAATACTGAGAGAAGACCCCAGTTTGGTTGTTAATTTTCCAAGGAATCCTTCTCTCTTGAGGGTTCATGGAAATTAACCCCTTTGGGGCTTCTCACTGCTCAGAAGAAATAGGCTTTGAGTAATCCTTTTTGCATCTCTGTCTCCCTGGGGGAGAGGTGACACAGCACGATATTATAATGGTAGATATGTGTCATTATAAATTTGTCCAAACTCATAGAGGGTACAACACCAAGAGAGAACCCTAATGTAAACTATGGACTTTGAGTGATAATGATGTGTCAGTGTAGGTTCACCAATTATAACAAATGTACCACTCTGGTGTGGGATGTTGATAATGGGGGAGGCCATGTATATATGGGATAAGGGGTCTGTGGGAAATCTCTGTCCCTTCTGTTCAATTTTACTGAGAGCCTAAAATTACTCTAAAAAATAGTTTATTAAAAAGAAGAAAAAGAAAATAGGCCTCAAATCAATATCCACCTTAAGAAACTAGAAGAAGAAGGGCAAACTAAACCCAAAGCAATGAGAATAATAAAGATTGGAGTAGACATGAACAAAATAGAGAATAGAAAAACAGTAGAGAGAATCAATGAAAATAAAGTTGTTTGAGCCATGTTCATAGTAGCATTATTCACAATAGCTAAAAGGTAGAAGCAATCTTAATGTCTATTGATGGAAGAATGGATAAACAAGACATGGTATACACATACAATAGAATATTATTCACCCTTAAAAATGAAGAACATTCTGACATATGCTACAATGTGGGTTAACCTTGAAGACATTATGCTAAGTGAAATAAGCCTGTCACAAAAGGACAATTATTGTATGATTCCACTCATATGAGGTACCCAGAGTCATCAAATTCATAGGGACAAAAAGTAAAATGGTGGTTGCCAGGGTCTAGGAAAAGAAGGGATATGGGAAGTTGGTGCTTAATGGATAAGTATCAGTTTTGGAAAATGAAAAAGTTCAGCAGATGGATGGTGATGATGTTTGTACAACCACCTGAATGTACTTAATGGCACAGACCTGTACACTTAAAAGTAGTTAAAATGGTAATTTTTATGTTATATCTATTTTACCACAATAAAAAAAAAGAACCAAAATTTGGTTGTTTGAAACAATCAACAAAATTGACAACTCTTTATCTAGACCGATTAAGAAAATAAGAAATGATAGTGGGTACATTAGTACTGGCTTTATGGAAATAAAAAGGATTATAAGAGAATATTATGAACAATTGTTCCCCAGCAAAATAGATAACTCACATGGAATTCCTGGAAACATACAAATTACCAAAATTGACTTAAGAAGAAACAGAAAATCTAAACAGATCTATAATAAGCAAAGATATTAAATCAACAATCCAAAAACCTCTATCAAAGAAAAGCATAGGACCAGATGGCTTCACTGGAAAATTCTACCAAACATTAAAAAAAAAAATTTAACACCAATCCTTCTCAAGTTGTTTCATGAAGCCAGTATTACCCTGATAAGAAAGCAAGACAAAGACATCACAAAAAAAGAAAACTGCAGACTAATATTTTTAAAAATATTATAAATATAAATAATATAATGCAAAACAAAAATATAAATATAAATGCAAAAATCCTCAGCAAAATTTAGCAAATAGAATCCCCCAACATATTAAAAGGATTATATGCCATGAACAAGTTATCTCAGGGTTGCAAGTGTAGTTCAACATATAAAAATCAATATAATACAGATGATATTAATAGAATGAAGGGGAAAAAATCCATCTCAGTTGATGCAGAAGAAGCATTTGACAAAATCCAACACCTTTTTTATGATTAAAAACACTCAACAAAGTAGGAATATAAGGGAAACTCCTCAACCCAATCAAGGGCATTTTTAAAAAAACCCACAGCTAACATCTTACTTAAGGGTGAAATACTAAAAACTTTCCTCCTGAGGTTAGGAACAAGACAGGAATGTCTGCTGTCACCACTTACATTCAGCACTGAAGTTCTAGCATGAGCAATTAGGTAAGAAAAAGAAATAAGGGCCGGCCTGGTGGCGCACTGGAGAGTGCGCCGCTTGGGAGCGCGGCGGCGCTCCCGCCGAGGGTTCAGATCCCACATACAGACCGGTTCCCACTCACTGACTGAGCACGGTGCGGGTGCAACACCGAGGGTTGCGATCCCGTTACTGGTCAGTAAAAAAGACAAAAAAAGGAAAAAAAAAAGAAAAAGAAATAAAAGGCAGAATGGTTATGGGGTTTCTTTTGGGAGCTGATAAAAATGTTCTAGAATTAGATGATGGTGATGGTTGCACAATATTGTGAATATACTAAAAACCACTGAATTGTACTCTTTAAAATGGTTAAAATGGTGAATTTTATGTTATATGAATTTATCTCAATTAAATAAACTAAAAGCTTCTAGAGACACATGCCCTGCCATTCCTCAGAAACTCATTCCGCATTTCAATTATCATTGCTATTATGAAAATCTTAGATTAAACCTAAAACTTGAATGTTGCATCTGTAGTCTATTTTCTTTCTTCAGAAAATGTAGATTTATTTAATAGTACATTTTCTATGTATATTTCATATGTTATATATATGTATGCATATATATGTACATACATATAGAGAGAGAGGGAGAGACAGAAATAGAGAGACAGAGAGAGAGTTTGGGTGGCTAACACATTAAGATTTATAATGATTATATTAACTTTTTATTACTACAAAGCAAGAAATTGGTTCAAAATGGAAGACTAAGCACATGTTCAGCTGGCCAAATTCTGAGAAACAAGTTCTTTTTTCAAAAATTTATAACGTGCCTGGAAGACACAGCAGGAATGGTCTTGGTGGATCAGAAATTAATAGCTCCTAAAATCCAAAGGCAGATGTGACCAGATTGGATGATGAATATACAAGAGATGGCTGCTGAAAAGTTAGAACAGCATTATATCCCCATATAGAGTGCATCCCAGAAATTAAAAGATATAACAACATTAACATTATTCTCATTACAAATATAAAAAGAAAGGAGTCAAAACCAGATGAGATTGCTTCATATCCCTGCTACTTTTCAACACTGCAAAGGGGGTCCTAAGCAATGTAATAAAATGGGGGTAAAAAAAGGTGAAAATGGAGATGAATGTAAATAAAACTGTCTATATTCCCAGATGATAATAGCCTATCTGAAAAACCCAAGATAATCAACTGACAAACTGTTAAAACCAAGAACAGCATTTAATATGTGGTCAGATACAATAACATCATACAAAAAACTATAGCTTTCTACAGCACCAGCAATATATCAATCAGAATTATGCCACTTGTATAATTTCTTTTTTCAATTAAAAAATTTAAGATATGGTTAAAACTCCTTGTGTACCTCTTTCCCACCTCATTAAATTCTCTCCACCTACTTTCATAACTGCTACCTTGCATTTGGAGTTTTCATTCCCGTGCATACTTTTTACATTACTCTGTGTGTGTGTGTCCTTAAAATATATATATTACTGAAATTATTTCAAAACAAAAAGTAAAGTATATATATTATTTAGCACCTTGAAAAATTGTATATAGAAATGGTATTAGATTATATATATATATATCATTCTGCAACTTGATTTTACCCATTAATATCTCTAGACTTATCCAAGTCAATATCTACACATGTATATAGCACACTTTCTCATTATCTGGAATCAGTATAAATGTATACTTTTTTGAAATATATTGTTTCTCTCATTTCCAGAAGTATATATGGTAAGTAAAAAATGCATCTCAAAGGAGACATAGGTTAAAGACAAATATCACAATGAAAGTACAAAGTAGTCTGGAAAAAATTGGAAATAAACACAATGTTCATCAATGGGAAAAAGGTTCAATAAACTATAGTACATCTATAATATGGAAAATACTTTTACAACAGTATTTAAAAAGAATTTAGAAGATCTATATGTACATGGAAAGATTTCCAAGACTTAAAAGAAAATATAAAAGAACATGATCCCTTTCAAGTTAAAAATTTAAATTGTGTATTTTTAATCACACATATATAAATGTATGTTAGAAAAACAGTTGGAAAACTGATACCACTGGGTGCCTTTGAGTAAGTGAATGGGTTTGAGGGAGATGAAAGGAGACACTTTTGCTGTCTCATTAGATTTTTTTTAAATGAAAATATGTTCTTGTGTTGTATTTTTTTAGTAGATAACTTGATGATACATAGATAGACAAATGCCAGACAAAATAAAAGTGGTCAAGAAGAATGGACAAAGGACCAACTCCCAGGATGTACCCTCCAGTAAGAGTTGACCACACTATAAGCTTTTTAAATGGTCGTAATTGGCATCCTTATGAGCTAAGATGGTTGCTGAAGTTTCCATTTTATTTATACTTTTCTTTATATTTGTTTAATTAGAAGACAAGAAAGCAAGACAGATAGTTGTAATAAACATACTTACTGACAGATCTCAAAGTTTTTGGTCGGAGAAGACAACCATGAAAATTCAAACTCAGCACATTTAGACGCCACCTTTGCAAAGTAGACACTACATATTTATCTGTAAGCACATTTTTCGCTGTGGAAAAATCAATCTAAAAAGGATAAACAAAATATATTAAGAAGTTTCAGGTAAAAATTTTAAATATTTTAAAAGCTCTTTATCACATCATTTTCAAATAGAAAAAAATGACTGACATGTTAGAGTGGTCTATTTAGTAGGAAAAATTAGTCTAAAAAGGATAAATAAAAGACATTAAGAAATAAAAAGATCTGTTTCATATAAAAATTTTAAATATTTTATAAGCTCTTATCACATCATTTCCAATAGAAAAAAAAAAGACTGGCATGTTAGAGTGTTCTAGTTAGTAGGTTTACGAATTTCATAATAAAATAAGGAACACACACACATACACATATTTCTATTTGTTTCCAAAAATGACTTGAATTGGCTGATGAAAAATATAGCACACTTAAGACAAAAAATGTAAATGCAAAATGGCTTCTTAGCATATGAGATAATGTGCAGTCTCTCTTGTGAGATATCAGATATCAAAAAGTATAGAGAGCTAAGAAAATTTTGGAGCAAAACTTCATACCATAACTTCATACACTTTTGTGACTAGAAATTAATCCAAACTTTGCTGTAACAATTCTACTTCTAGGAATTTATCTTGCAGATATAATCACAGATGTGTCCCAAAAAAAGAGAGAGAGAAATATGATGTTCACTACAGGATTTTAATAGGAAAGATAGGAAAGAATCCAAATACCCTTCAGTAGTTCAGTAGGAGACTGCTTAAATAAATTGAGGGACTTCCATACAACACAACACCAGACAGAAGCTGAATTCATGGCAAAAACAAAAACAAAACAAACACACACAATTCCAAAAGAGGAAAACTAAAGCAAAACAGTCCAAATATGCTGCTGTCTGATTGGCTGATTCAATTCAGGGACGAAATGCACAACATCTAGAGGAGTTAATGGACTCGAATCTTTCACGAATATTTCTCCTCAATGCCAAGCTTTTTATGAGAGCTGGTCTCAGAGTTCAAGATTATGTTATTTTAAAAGAACCTGGAGAGCAGAACTTCTATGCTGCCAGTTAGGGGAAAAGCAAATAACAGACCTGGCATTCTCTTATAAATATTTAGTGACTAAGAGCACACACTGTGTAGTTAGGCAGATCAGAGTCTGAATTCCATCCCAGCCGCTTAACAACCTGGGCATTTACTTAACTAAGCCTTAGTTTTTTCATCTGTAAAATGGGAAAAGTAACAGTGCCTAACACAGGAGGCCGCAGGGATAAATAGAGAAAATGCAAGTGCAGTGCTTAGTTCAGCATCTGGCGTATAGGCAGCACTCAAAAACATTAGCTACTGTTATTAGTTCAAAAAACATAACAAAGCAGCACAAAATATAGAGTAAAGAAATTTTTAAAATCAAGTTTGGAATAGGACTAAAATACACAACACATAAACAAAGCCTGCTGGATGTTCCTAATGCCTTTGCATGTGTGCAGACACACATACACTCTGGCATTTTCTAATTTGGACTCCTAAGCTGACATTTCTGTACTATGGTTGCCCTAATACTACTTTTATACTATTTTTGTAACTTGAAACATGGTTGTGTTTCTCGTTCCACAGAGACATTGGGGAGAGGACTCAGCCAACAATAAAAAGCAAACATATACTGTCCCCCAGTGACTTTTATTATCTGTGTCTTGGGTGATGCTTTAATCTCAGCCCCTATGGTCATTTACGCCATCAATCAATGTTCCCTGGCAACATTGTCTCTGTTGTATGAAGTCCAGTCAACAGCTGACTTCACCAACCCCTCCTTATCGGTAATGATTGGAGGTCTGATGATATCATGTGTTCCCTGACCTGGGAATAGGTGGACTGGAGCCATTTTGCAGAAACTAAAACTCACTCAAAGAAACTAAGAGGAGCTGACAAGGTGCCAGGGACTCTAGCTCCGTAAGTCAACTAAATATCTTTCCATCCCATCAGAGCACCATCCTATTATCCTACTCTCATTCTGTACACTAACAGCAAGAAAAGAATTGATTCCATCTAACTGAACCCATCTTAGCTAACAAATTAGGTAATCCTGCCTTAAGCATATTTTTAGTTTAAGACAGTGATTCTCAGACTTTAGCCTGCATCAGAATCATCTGTACAGATTGCTAAAAACAGGTTACTAATTTGCTACCCCCAAAGTTTCTGATTCAGCAGGTCTGGTGTGAGGCCTGACAATTTGCATTTCGAACAAGTTCCCGGAGTGCTGATGCTGCTGGTCCCAAACCATTGCTTTGAGAACCACTGGATTAAAGTAATAAATCTTGTACTTATTTGATAGATGTTTGGGAATGTTACTTTTTCCTCTGGAAAACCCATAAAGGAGTTTTAAAAAAAGGAATCCAGGGCTGGCCTGGTGGCGCACTGGATAGTGCGCCACTTGGGAGCGCGGTGGTGCTCCCGCTGAGGGTTCGGATCCCATGTGGAGACCGGTTCCCGCTCACTGGCTGAGCGCAGTGCGGGCACGGTGCCGAGGGTTGTGATCCCGTTGCCGGTCCCCGGTACGGGCACGACACCGAGGGTTGTGATCCCATCACTGGTCAGTAAAAAAGACAAAAAGGAAAAAAAAAAGGAATCCAAATGGTCTGGAGGAGAAAGAATATGTACAATATTAAGATCAGGACAGATCCTGCAGAAGCCTGGCAGGAGTTAAAAAAAAGCCAACACTTCTGCTTGGAGACCTTACTGGGTAAAGACGTAGCGAATATGAGCATATGGCAGTGAACAACAGAGCCATGATAGGAAATTAAGTTTGCTCTCAGTAAATTTCTTTCCACAATTGTATGCTGCCCTGCATCTTATTTCTGCCTTTATGAGGGTACTTCAAAAAGTCTGTGGAAAAATGGAATTAAAATAATAGGAATCCTTCTATGAATTTTTTGAAGACGCCTTATATTTGTGAATGTTCAAGTATGGCACAATTATACCAAACCTTTTAGCCTGAAGAATAGCTTTGTTCAGAATGCAATGAGAAATGGGATATTCACAAACTTGACTTTTAGCTGAAAATATTATCAATATTATGATATCAATGTTATTTTTATCAATCAGCCCTCGCTACTCAGAGCTCATGTAAAGCCCTGCTCTCATCAATTTTATATACCATCAGCCAGGTAAACTAAGGTCATCCTTTATATTTGGAGAACAACCCCCTCTTAATTATGCATTATGAAAAGGCCATTACAAACCACATACTCTGAACTGTCTTTCCCACAGTCAAGGACTAAACATATAGCCTGTGCCCATGAAAAGGAAACAGGCACACATTAATAATGAAACCAGGATGGGGTACAAACTGTTCAATACAATGGGGCTTTGTTTCAATCCAAAAATAATATTCCACTTATAGCTACCATTTAAATTTTAAATACTAATAATACACTTGAAATAGCATTATTATCTTTATTTCTTCCTCCAGGATTGTGCCTGGACAAAAGAAAAACAAATGCACTTGTTGCTAGTGGTCATAGAGAGGGTAGCAAGGAAGAAGGTGGTCCCTACTACAGTTGGCTCTACAGAAGTCCATTATTTTTTAAGAACTAGAATAAAGACATAATTCAGTTAGCATCTACTTACAGCATTCCACAATAAGCTTATTTGTGTCATCGACATCCAGGCATGACTAACTTGACTACATACTATCACATCTCTTAAAGTGAGGTAGAAGAAAACCTAAACACAAAGAAAAGAAATACACAATTTTTGAAAAATATGAAAACCTTGATGTAACTCCTGTGTGTGTGTGTGTGTGTGTGTGTGTGTGTGTATGTGTGTGTGTGTGTTAGTAATCGTAATGTAATTCATCATAGCAGGAGTTTAAATGCTATAATTTTATCTGGAATTATGAACTTTATCTAATTTGAACTTATCTGCTGATGACTTTCTTGTAATGTGATCCTTTTAATTGATCGATGCAGAAGAATGGAGGAAAGTAAGTACATTTGTTTTATTTTCTGAATGAAGATGGAACTCTGCTAGAAAACTAGTGACTTCCCTAAAGAGTAGCTGATATGTAGAAGGTGTTCAATAATTGTTTGCTGAACTGAACTAGATTTCTTTCTAAAATTATGGGATTCTTGGAAAAGATCATTAAGCCCACCTTGGCTTCTATTTCTGGAAAAATGGTAGACTAGAAAATCAGGAAACCCTTTTGATACAAATATCAGTAAATGCTAAAACAAACACTTTTTAAAAAACATAACTCAGTTTTCAAGAAAGTAAAGGAAATCTCCAGAGCCACAATCCTTGTAATCTCAGACTGGTAATAAGGTGTTCATGCTATAGTTGCTTGGGATGCAGGAGCAGTGAGAATAGTTGCTGCTTTTTTCATAACAGGTTCAGATATTACTGTCCATGCAGGGACAGAAGAAAGTCACCAGGCTTGTACAAAGCTGGTAGTTGTAACTAGGTCAGAGAAAGACAGAGAGAGAGAGAGACAGAGAGAGAGAGAGATATCTAGGATTATAAAATAGAGAGCCAGGAAAAAAATTACCTATTGGCAAAAGAAAAACTAAGGTACTAGCCTGAGATGAAAAAACAAAACAAACAAACAAAAAAACCCCAAAGAATCTGTAACCAAAGACCAGCTCTCATGTGTGTTAGAATTTTAATTTTAATTATTTGTGGAATCCAATTTAAATTTATTACTTTTGTGACTGGATTTGATACATTAATAAGCAAAGAGATTCCAAGATGGTAATAACTCTGAGACATCTGGCAGAAATAAATATCTTTCTCTCTAAAAAGACACATGGTCAAGGCAGGCCTTACAGGATTCCCAAAGATTAAGCCTCAACAAAATGGGCTCCCACTCAAAAACTGAAAAACATGTGAGAAAAAAAAATCCAATAAGAATCAGCAAAAATAAAAACAATAACTTTATTAATAAAATTGTCCAATAATGATTATAAAACCTTTAAAGTGATGAGAAACAAAAATAAAAACAAAACTCTTGAGAAAGATGTTGTCAAAGAGAACTGTGTAGACTGTGAAAGGACCAAAACAAATTCATGGAAATTAAAAATATAATTATTGAAATTAAAAACTTAATAGATGAGTTAAATAGCAGATGAAACAGCTGAAAAGAGAATCAGTAAACTGGAATATGTATCTGAAGAAATTACAGAGGATAAGGTGTAGAGAAGATAAAGAGAAGAAATATATAAAGTTAAGAGACACATTACATAACATGAAAAGGTCCAATATACATCTCTATAGACTTTCCAAGAGGGAATGGAGAGAATAGAATCAGAGCAAAATTCAAAAATATCACAGATTAACATGTTCCAGAACTGATGAACGGCAACAATTCTCAGATTCAAGAAGCATGAGACATTCCAAGCAGGAAAATGAAAATACCAACGGCATTACAGTAAAACTGCAAAAGACCAGAAGCAAAGGAAAATCTTAAAGTCAACCAGAGACAGATTACCTACAAAAAAAAAAGTCATTTAGACAGCAACAACATAAAGCAGAAGTCAGCAGAAAATAACTATCAATGACAGGTACTATATGCAAGTGAATTACAACTCAAGAATGAGTATTAAGTAAAGACACTTTAAGACAAAGATTGAGTTTGCTTCCAACAGATTCTTCACAAAGGATCTTCTAAAGAACACTGAAATCAGAAGAAAGGAGTGACATGTAAATGGTAATGATTGGCACGGAATCTGATAAGTATGCAGGGAAAGCTACTAACTTTATAACAAACGAGTATAATGATGATGACTAATGTGGGGACACAAAAAGAAGGAGGAACAAAAACAGTAGATAATAATAATACTCTAAGATTTAAGGGAATAATCAGAGTTAAAATGTTCTAAATTCCAGTTATAATTCAGGAAGAAAATACAGATATTAACTTACTTTAGGTAAGTTTACTTTAGGTTTTACCTAAAAAGGTTAACCTTACTTTAGGTTTTATTAACAAATTCACATGTTAAAAATATTTGAGTGACCAGTGAAATAGTAGAAACAGAATGTATATCTTCTAAAACATGAAAATAGGAAAAAGAGGGTAGATTTTAAAACTCAATAAATAGATCCAGCATTCGATCTCTGCACTAACTGCCAAAAGAACCAAAAACGATAAAAAATTAAAATTTGAGTGAGAAATAAAAATAAAAATACTCAATAAATAAAGGCAGATAAGGAGGAAAAAGAAGCATATAAAAAGAGAATAAATAGTATATAGTTAAATGAGAAAAACAAATCCAAGTATATCAACAGTCACAATAAATTTAACAAAGTTCACTGATTAGAAGACAAAATTATCCTTAATAATGCTTTTTGCTTTAATGTTTTCCCCTGATATTAACATAACTATCAGCTTTCTTTTTTAGTTTTATTTTATTTATTTATTTTTTTTCCTTTTTGTCTTTTTTTTTCATGTCTGGCAATGGATCGCAACCCTCAGTGCCGCGTCCACACCTCGCTCAGCCAGTGAGCAGGAACCGGTCTGTATGTGGGATCTGAACCCTCGGCGGGAGCGCCGCTGCGCTCCCAAGCGGCACACTGTAGCAGTGCGCCACCGGGCCGGCCCTTTTTTAGTTTTATTTTTAAATGACAAATAATAATCGTATATATTTATGGGGTACAACATCACATTTTGTATGTTTACAATGTGGAATAATTACATCAGGCTAATTAACAAATCCATCACCTGACATACCATTTTTTGTGGAGAAAACTTTTAAAATCTACTCTGCCAAGCACAAAAAGACAAATGCAGCATGATCTCACTTATATTTGAAACCTAAAAAAGTTGAACTCAAAGAAATGAGAGTAAAATGGTAGTTATCAGCTTTTCATTCATTTGTGTTCATTTTGTTTAGTATTGTATTTTAGGTGGATTTTTAAAGCTTATCTGATAAAGAGGGTAACTACATAATAATTAAAGGAAACAATTCAAACAATTCACCAGAGATATATAACAATCCTAAATGTGTAAGCAGCTAATAACATAGCCACAAAGTTATAAGGAGAAATTGGCAAATCCACAATCATGATGAAAGATAATTTCAGTTAATACATCAATGTGAGGAAATAAATTTTTCTTTTCTCAGTACTCCTGTAAAGAGCCCTATGACTCTAGGGACATGGAAGTTTATATAATATAAAGACACAGAATGTTTAGCGTTCACTTTTTCTAGAAACATTTTACTTTCCACAAACCATCAAGATTAGATCTGCAGCCATGTGTCTAGTTAATTGCTCTGATACAAAACAATAACAAAATATCTCTTCTCTCCAAGAAGGTCCAATGATTACAGCCTGGACCAGTAAGCTCCCAAGGTGCCCAGAAGATCCCTAGTAATTGACATTTCAAGGAGAAGTCAACCCTAGAACTTTGGAGACATCTTTAGGTCTTAAAAGCTGGAGATATTAGGGCTTTTCTGGTCCTCAGAGAGGTGTATTATAAGAAGTTCTGCCTCCTTTGCTTACTTATAAGGACTCTTGTGATTTCACTGGGTCAACCTAGATAATCCAGGATAATTTCCACATCTCAAGGTCCTTACTTAATCACATCTGAAAAGACTTTTTTTGTAATGTAGGGTAACATATTCACAGATTCTGAGGATTATGACATGGACATCTTTGGACCATTAAGGTTCTGTCTACCATACTACCTAAGGGAATGGTAAATACTAAATTTGAGAGAGCAGTTACCTCTTAGAGAGGAAAGAGAATGCAATCAAGGAGACTTTAATTGTATTTATTATGCTTTATTTGTTAACTGGGTGGTGAGTACCCAGATGTTCATTATATTATATTTTTGGCATGCCTGAAATATTTTATTCCAATAACCTCACTTTGAATAAAATACCTAGAAATAAATTTAAGGAGGTTAAATACTACAAAACATTGCCAAAAGAAATTAAAGACCTGAATGAATGGAAAAACATCTCATGTTCATGAATTGAAGGACATAATAACAACAACAATACAAGGAATCAAATCAGAATTTTAAATCTGCTCATAAATAAATACCAAACAAACTCAGGTCCAGAGAGTTTTACAAAACTATTTGATAAGTGAAAGAATCTACTCTGACTAGTTTAGCTACATTACAGTGTCTTGGGAGATCTGAGATAAGTCAGTAATCACATCTACCTGTCCTAGAAAATGTTAACATAAGACCATTTTTCTTAGTAGCAGTCGTAATGGTGCTAGAAAGCCATAAAATAACCTAGAATACTTCCTATTACCCTTATCCTAGATCCCTGCATGTAGGATGTCATGTAGTAACAATCCCAAATCTATATGTCATGTACAACCAATAGAAAGCCTGATGAAGTAATGAGGGGGGGCTGTCCTTCTCTCTCTCCTTTGACCCTTCTCCCTTCTTGTGATTTTAAAATGTTCAGCTCTGCTGGCCCTCTTCAGAACACATTTTCAGGGCTACTTGATTTGTGTGTCTCCCCAGTTGCAATCATCATATTGGCTCAATAAATCCTTGCTATATGTATTTGGTCTCAGTTTCTTTTTAGGTCGACATATTCTATCAAATATCCAAGAAACAGATAATATAACAATAAGAATGCAAAGATGTCACTACTTCCCAAAGTGTGTTCTATAGATTCAATGCAATTCCTATCGAAATTTCAGAACCTGCACTTCTTGGAAGGTTTCTATACTAGTTTCCTGGGGCTGCCATAACAAATTACTATAAA